GAAAGGAGTTTCCTTTTCAGTTTACCCTGATTCCTCCAAGCCTCTCTTTTGCCTGTAGACCTTAGACCGCTGATGGCTATTTAGAACTGGAGAGGCGTGGAAAAGCAGCACTGCTCCCCCTCCCATCCCCCAATTGAAAAGCATCTTGACGTGTTATGCAGGGCCTCACCAATACCATTTTCTGCCCCAGACTTCTGCTGCGTCCATGCAGATTATCCGAGACCTTTCATTTGTATGTGTGGGAGAGGCTGGGGAGGAAGAGGTCCTATGGCTGCTTAGATCAGAGGCTGTAGCTTATCTATGGAAGACTTAGTGATGTGACGGTAAGAAGTCCCTGTGAACGTGGAACTTCCATTTCATCTAGAAAGACACCTCCAGGTCGCTCCTCTTCTCCCCGAACTAAGCTGGGCTTAGAAACGACAATGCAAAGTTGGTCACTTCAAATGATCTCAGAGAACTATTGCCGATCAGAGACTCTGTTGGAGCAGGGGCCAAGGAAGGAGTTGGGTGGGGAAAGCTCTGTGTGCCTGTGAGAAAACTCCAGAAGAGTCTTGTGACCTCAGTTTCTTCACAACACAGAAATGTTCTTGGAATGTGTTTTCGTGCTTCTCCCAGGTGTAGGGGAGTGAGTTTACTTCAGATTATTCATTACAGCTGGCTATTGTTCCCTGTTTATATGACTCTATGGGAAAACGTGTTTCTGCCACGTGCGGCCTGTCCTTGTGACTGGACACTTTACTCAGGTGACTCTTCTTAACCTCAGAGTATAACTTGTTTGAGGACCCGAGTAAAGACTATGTAGTCTGCCTCATGTTTAGGGTCCTTTCTCCCATGTCCCATCACCTGTAGAGACACGACAGGACTCTACAAAAGAAGGGTGTAGTAGGTAAAGCTGGGATGAATTCTCTCATGCCACCTGATCCCAGCTGGAAATTCACTGGCTCACTGGGATGCCAACTGAACAAAACAGAAGCAAACAGCGCCTGCCTGTAGATTTTATAATCTAAACTGATGCTTGAGTGGGCCATGTGCACGCTGAGAACAGAGGTCGCATTGTGCATTACAACAGAAGTCCCACTTGTCAGTCACACAAATGTTTAAGACCACAGAAGGGGGACAAGGATGACAAAATGCATCTTTTGCTTTTCTCCACTTTGTCTTGGACACAAAGCCTCTGATGCTGGCTTTGTTCTAGGAAGCAGTCCGACATTCCTTCTTGGACCTACCCGGTCATTAGGTCATTAACACAGAGAGAACATTCCTGCCTGCAGCCACTCCTACTACTCTGAACAGAAGAAGAAAGCAATATAAAGGGTATAGTGCTGGACTGGGTGTTTATTTGCTAATCATCACTTTTCCTCATCATTTTCACTTTCTCAGTGTCAAACAACTGTAATAGGTACTACCAAGACATATGGCTATTTGACAAGATCTGCCAATATTTGAAATACATCTATCCTGTGAGATAGGAATTAATTACTTTCTTTAGAATGTAGTTAGCAGACAAACTGGCAGATGTGGAAAACAACGTATCTCTGAAAATAATCTTGGCAACGTATAAAATGTTGAAAGACTGGGAACAAGGCCAGTTGGGGAGGAGCTCAGTGGGAATTACCATGTGAGAGGTCCTAGAGTCAACCCTCAGTGCTGACAGAGAAACAAAAACAAACAACAGAGTGGAGGCTGATTTGCTGAATATTTACTGATACACACATATTCATCAGTAGAGGGATGGCTACATTACCACACGCTTACACATGGGATTCTAGGCACCCGATGGTTAAAAAGCAGATCTCCAAAAACTGAGTCCTACTAAAGAATGATGTGGATAAGAGGCTGCCTTGGAGGGCAGGGCCAGGGCACACCGTGTCTGTGTAAAGCGTCTTGGGAGACTGTAAACAGCACTAGTGATGCATCCACCTGGGGGAGAACTATATGGCTGAGAGACCAGGCTGGGAGAGAAACCCGTTTCAGTTGTGATGCATGTAATCTCTCCCAAGTTTAACTTATTACTCAAAGAAAATACCAGATCTGATAGACAGAACCAAGGAATCCCAGGAAGCTTATGGTTTAAAGAACCAGAAGGAAATGGGCTATGCATTTAAGATCTTGTCTTCATCCTTGCCATGAACTGTGAAACTGTCATGTTTCTGTAATTGGTCACTGACCTGCTTAATTAGGTTCTATCTATATAAAGGAAGTCACAGATCCTAGGCAATGAGGAAGTGAAGGATTGGAGTGTGTCTCCTTTGACTCTTAGCAGCAATGGAAATTACTCACACTGGTGGGAGAAAGGATTAAGGAATCATGACCAATACGGAACCATCTCTAAAAACTGCTCATCTTGTATACCTCCTTTCTGGCTTCATTGTGCTGCAGGCAAGCATGGAGGGCATTTTCTTTGTGTAGGAGGGCCCAGTTCAATGTGGGTGGTTCCATCTCTGGGCTGGTGGTCCTGGGTTCTATAAGAAAGCAGGCTGAGCAAGCCATAGGAGCAAGCCGGTAAGCAGCACCCCTCTGTAGCCTCTGCATCAGTTCCTGCCTCCAGGTTCCTGTCCCGCTAGAGTTGCTATCCTGATTTCCTTATGAGAAGTTCCTGCACCACATAAGCCTCTCTGCAAATGCAGTAATCTAAGTCAGACCCAACCAAACTGAATTATAAAAGCCCAGGTTTAATGGATAAAACATTCCTGGATGATTTTCCAGCCCTCTTTCCTCATGGCACATGCACTGTGTGTATCATGAATAGATAAATAACCCCGTGATTTATATTGGGGTTCAAACTTCAAGCTGAATATCAGAAAAACAAAGCATCCCAGCCACTAGCTCTCACCTCTAGCTCTGGTTGAAAGGGTTGGTCCAAGAACAAGCTTCACCAAGACTCAAACTGCTGCCTCTCCTCAGTGTGGCTGGAGAATGAATCCCTTTACTGAGACTTTGCTTCTGTCTTATATACTTCCCTAATGTTGGGATTAAAAGATGTGAACTATAATTCTCTTTTAGATTGATTCACTCTTGTGTAGATCTGGGTGGTCTTGAACTCACAGATATCTGTCTATCTCTTAATCCTGAGTCCAACTTCTGGCTGCTGGGATTAAAGGTGTTTGCCTAGCTTGTGTGGCTTGTGGCTGACTTTGCTTTCTGAATCCTCAGGCAAGCTTTAATAAATCATAAACAATATATTACCACAAATCCCCTTTTTTGTCTAATACAAAAAGAAGGCTAAAACTATAACACCTTGAATCTCAGCACTCGGGAGGCAGAGGCAGGCAGATCTCTGTGAGTTCAAGACCAGCCTGGTCTACAAGAGCTATTCCAGGACAGCCTCCAAAGCCACAGAGAAACCCTGTCTCAAAAAACAAAAAACAAAAAAAAAAGAAAGTAAAATAAGTATATACAATATATACAGGCAATAAATTTGTCAACAATGTCTAGTCCATTTTCATTTGACAAATTCAGAGAAAATGTCCAGTCTATTTTCATTTAACAAATTCAGAAAAATTCACTATCTATTCTATCTTGGTGAGTCCACAGTCTTGTACCTAATTTACTTTCTATTCCGAAAAATGTGAGAAATGACAGAAACAGCTGGCTGCCTGAAAGTCACCTGAGGTTCCTCTACAACATTGGGGCATCCGTCTTTGGCCTATGTACCAGTTCTCCTTGTCCTTTCTAAGACCCAGAACAAGAACATCTCACCTGAGTGATGTTTCTCTGATCATTACAGAAGGAAACCTCAGAGCTTACTCATGGAGATCAACACTCCCAGAAGCTATAGGCTCTTCATGAACACTCACAAACAGAAGCAGAGTTTTTCCATCAACAGGAGCTGCACCTGAACTGGAACCTATTTTTTTGGGGGGGGGGTTCTTTGTGTAACAGCCCTGGTTGTCCTCAAAGATCTGCCTGCCTCTGCCTCCTGAGTGCTGGAATTAAAGGCGTGCACCACCACCATCTGGCTGAAACCTTGTTTTCTAACTGTTATCATTAAGCTGTAACATCGTTAGCTATGACATCAGCTCTCCCAAATTGTGCAAGTATTTGAGACAATGAGAATTCACTCTCCAGAGGAAGTTTCCTATGGAGGGCTATTTTCAAAGTCATCGCCATCTTGTTCCATGTCTCCAAAACACTATAATGCTTAATCAAGCCTGCTCAAAATGTGGTTCCTAGAACAGAACACAGTATTCCAGTCCTTATGGGAGCTTACCAAGTTGGAATCTAGAGGGACTTTTGATCTGGTTCACTCTTCAAAGGCACTGTGCTTTCCCACTGGTCTCTCCTTAAGTGTGTTAAAAAGTGAGATGATACTGAAATTTTAGAAGAAAATTGTCAAGACTTCTGTTTGTCATGTGACCCTGTCGCAGTGAGGCTTTACCTATGCCTGGCAAAGGGGTTTGACTACCTTCAAGTTTGTCTCAGTAATGGGGGAGTTTAGTTTTAATAACAACATCATATGCAACTATTCCAGCTGCTACTTAGAAATATACTTTTTAGTTGAATTTCTTGCTTTTAGCTAAAGGACTTGAAATCCCCTCTCTACACTCAACAGCCAGGAATCCACTTTGCCAAGCTGATCCAATCAGAGCACTGAATCACAAAGGTGTCAAGCCATGGAGATACCAAGACTCTTGAAGGAGCCAGAGAACTTTCTCGAGACTACAGCTTCCCTGATGACAAGCGCTGCAGACACTGGATCATGGGAAGCAATGGAAAACATGGAAAGAAACTTAGGCCAGTCTCTGGGTTTGCAGGGAGCAGGAGGTGGAAAAGGCGGAGGCTGGAGAACAGAGGAGGAGCATGGCTGAACCGGTGTGCTGACCTGTATTTTATGAGGAAACAATATCCAGGTGAATTCAACCAAATAAAAACGCAAGCGGTATGATGGTATCCACCCGTAAACCCAACACTGGTGGGTGGGCGGGTGGCTGAGACACCACGTCTTTGCTCCCTTGTAAATACAGGCTTTAACATTAAAACACAAAGGCCATGTGAGCTTGTTTTCGTGGACAATGATCTAACTTTATTGTGTGCAGTCTTTTATACACCAACGATTAGCTTTCCCAAGTGAAATAAGATTTATGATAAAGTTATTCTGAAGGAGACACACTGGGCAATAACAGAAAAAGCTGAAGAGAGGCTTTTTTTTCGTTTTTCTTTTGTCTGAAAGTGGAAAACAAAAGTTGGAAACTGGGGGGGGGGGATACAGAAGCTTCCAGAGATTTCTAAGACCACAATAAAAACAGCTGGGGAGAACAGAGCACTTGCTCACGCTGGGTGAAGAGCCTGGAGGTTTGATGTTCTGTACCACAAAAAACAAATCAAACTGCAAAAAAACAGGCTTTCCTTCTGGGTGCAAGTCCTTGGCGTTCCCTGCTGTGTGTCTTTATTACACAACATAACGTTTTATTTAACACAAAGTCCACTTGGTCTAGAGAACAGTGGGGTTCTAATTTTGTCCCCAGCCAGTAAAGTCACTCCTCACATATGTGTTAGGAAAACAGCTCAAAGACCCTGCAAAGTCCATTCTCGGCTCATTCATATTGTTTCTCAGTCTCCTCCTTGGTTTCCTTTTTGAGTAGACTCCCAGAGCTAAAATAAATGGTGTGAGCTCACTAGTCTGCTGCTGAATTGGAAATTCAGGCCCCAGTAAAAAAAAAGTTACAGATCTGGAGGTTCACTTCAAAATCACCTTATGAAGCAGGCTACCGAAGAGTTTCTCCACAACTCAATTGCCCGTGTACCACTAGGGAGCAACTGTTCTCAAATGCTCCCTGTCAACCCACCTCTCCCGGAGCGTTTAAAGCTCTCAGCTTCACTCTGCTGTTTCTCCCTCAGCACTTTAACACATGCCTACCTGGCTCCTGGAAGGTGGTCAGTAAGGTGGTAAAGTCATAATAATCCCTTGTTAGAAACATGAGAACCAAGCTGAATGCGATAGCTCACACCTGCAATCCTAAGGCTGGGGGGGCTGAGGCAGGAGAATTACCATGCGTTCCAGGCTAATCTGGCTCCATGGTGAGATGTTCCCTGAAATTAACAAAATAAAAAGAAACAAATACATAGCAAAAATAAGAGAAACATGAGAATCCAAAAGAAGTCTGGAATTACTCTATTTTCTTTACTTGTGACTGCACGCCAAGACTTGACATTTTTCATGTGGAAGTGGAATTGGGCTTCTAGTGCAAGACACAAACCTTATAATATATACTAGGCCATTAAAACTAAATTAAAACAATATTACCTAATTAAACTTTAGGAAGAAAAAACCCCAAATCTAGGTGGAGAAACAAAAGAATGACAGAAAGCTGAATCAGTAAGCCCACTGTACAAAAGATAAATGCACTGCTGAGGCATATTCCATTGGCCTTGAGATGTGCAGGCAAAGGGCAGCTGACGTTTAGCTGTGAGGCAGGGTCAAAGTTGACAAAGGGCTCTGAGAGAATATTTACCAAAGAGAATGTGATGATTCATTCAACAGTCCAGAAATCTCAATATAAAAACTTCAAGATATAAGAAGGATCAAATTATATCATGTTTGTGATTCAATTAAAAAATTCTTAGCCCTCTTACATTATATTATCTAGATTATAATAGTAAAAAAATCAAATTACATTCATATGAAACTTTTATCAAAAGAAATCAAATCCATTTTTATGAAATTTTATAGTACAATTATTTTTAGTGGGTCTTTTCTTAGGTCACAGTATTTATAATTCCATTTACATCTGTATAATTTTTAAAATTAAAAAACAAAAGCAAATCAATAGAAATCTAAGTTTTCATTTGTAAAACTCCTTCAGTCTCCAGGCCAGCACCACATGGCGGTGTTGATTTGTCCTCCAGACATGGATGACTCCCAGGATCCCCGGTCTAGGAAGCATTCAGGCCCCGACTCATTAGGAATGCTTTTTGGTTTGGCTCACGTTGCAAGAAATTCTGGAGCATGTCCATGCCGTCCAGAGATCCCCCAGGTTTCAGGATTAGGTTTCTGTACTTCATTCCAACCTAATAAAAGAAAACATCATGCCTAATAATTCACAGGCCTAGCAATCCTCCAAATCCCTAGGCATGAGGGAGAACGGATGAGGGCGAGGGAAAGGGGCTTCAGTTTTACTCGCTCTAGACATTCTCTGGACTGACACGAGCTCCAGCCTTTCTTTCTGCAGTTAAGGGTTTGGAACTTTCGGCTCAGGTCTTCTGCACTGTCCACTATTATTGTCGTATCCTTAGATTCCCAGCTGTGAGCCGACAGCATATGCAAGCAGGCACACCAACTACCCAAATGGAACAGTTTGCCACTGCCTGTTAGTCCATTTCCAACGTGATCTGGGATGGTTATTAGAGCAAGGGGTTCCAGAGGCTAAAGCAGCTGTGGGCAGTTTGATGCAGGTGCTCGGGTACTATCAATGGGTATTTCTATAAGAGGTTCATGGAAAAAAAAATACAACAAAACCTCCACAAAGAACCCAACCAACCTTGTTTGGAGAGGTCAAGTGACAAGCATTTCTGAGGGGTCAGAATAGGCATGACAGAAGTCTTTGGGGATGGCAGTCTGGAATTTTAAAACAAACCACGGTTCCTCTGCTTTTATTTACATAAACACACAAGCAGGTAAGTGGAAAGAAAATAGCTGCTACTCAGCAACACACCAGCTTCTTTAGGTTTGCTGTTACAGCCTTCCATTGTCCTTGGAATGAGTCCAGTGAGCCCTAGTTACAGATGCACACGTAACATAAATGGACACCACCCATGTTTATATTATGTGATCTGATCAATAGGACCAATAATCTTTTTGGGTACAGAAGAATTAATTAGAGAATTGCCAGAAACATAGTAGTTTCACTTGGGCCGAAAACAAGGTCCTGGCTGTTGCAACCATAAAAGACTTATTATGTAAAATAAAACATGATTGAAGCCGGGCATTAGTGGCGCACACCTTTAATCCCAGCACTCGGGTGGCAGAGGCAGGAGGATCTCTGTGAGTTCCAGGACAGCCTGGTCAACAGAGCGAGTTCCAGGACAGTCTCCAAAACAATACAGAGAAACCCTGTCTCGAAAAAACAAAAACAAAACAAAACAAAAAACAAACAAACAAACAAACAAAAAAACCCCATGATTGAAATCCACTAAATTAGACAAAGGCAAACCTATCTGATGCCCTACAAACTTATGAAATAAAATAAAAAACAGGCAAAATCTTTGGGGTTATCTTTTGTGCACAAACAGGAATCACATAACTTACAAACAGCACAGTGGTTCTCAACCTTCCTAACGCTGTCATCCTTGAATACAGTTCCTTATGTTGCGATGACCCCAACCATAAAATTATTTTCATTGCTACTTCATAACTATAATTTTGCTACTGTTAAGAATTGTAATGTAGGGCCGGGCATTGGTGGCGCACGCCTTTAATCCCAGCACTCGGGAGGCAGAGGCAGGTGGATCTCTGTGAGTTCGAGGCCAGCCTGGTCTACAAGAGCTAGTTCCAGGACAGCCTCCAAAGCCACAGAGAAACCCTGTCTCGAAAAACAAAAAAAAAAAAAAAAAAGAATTGTAATGTAAATAAATATCTGTGTTTTCTGACAGTCTTAGGTGACCCCTGTGAGACCCATTAATCTAGCTAGCTGCTGTGTCCAATCTTTTGACGCTGCCACAGGTCATTGGCATTTATAAAGTTTATACCTGAGAACCCTGCAATGGCATTACCAGAAAAAAAACAAACAAACCCAAAAAAACAACAAACCAAAAACAACCCCCCCCAAAAAAAACATTTTAGGTAAGTTGATGATTCTGGTTTGGGCTAGCATATATATCCACAGCTATTCTGTGTTGTATGTTGTAAGTTGATGATTCTGGTTTGGGCTATCATATATATCCACAGCTATCCTGTGTTGTATGTTGTAAGCTGATGATTCTGGTTTGGGCTATCATATATATCCACAGCTATCCTGTGTTGTATGTAGCCCACTGTACTGAGCTGGACATGACTGACACAAGCCCAGCTAATACTCTGAATTTTAGTTAGGGATAAGCAATTAAACCTAGTGTTTGCTAAATGCTCAGATAGCAAGACCAAACAATTATGAAGCACATATTTAAGTTTAAATTTTCTATCAACAACATATGAAAATGTTTAAAATACGAAATTAGTATTTTTGGGTCTCAAGTTGGCCTCAGACTTGCTATATGCAGCCAGGGGTGAGCGTGACTCTTCTGTCTTTACCTCCTAAGTGCAGGGATTCCAGGTACAAGCCACTATTCCCAGTTTATACAGTGCTGGGGATTGACCCAGGCCCTGTGTAGGCTAGGCAAGTATTCTACCAAGTGAGCTATACTCCAGCCTCATGAAATGAGTAAGTATTTGCTTAAACACTACAACCAAGGCACCGTGGTGAGTACCTGCACTCCATGCTATTGGGGAGGCTGAGGTGGGATAGTCCCTTGAGCTCTATCATAACCACGATGGTATCATTTCAACATGTAAAATTTTTATAGAACATTGAGTTGCTCTTGTAAGTATTCAAAATCCATTCGCTTTTCTTGTCTGTTTTATTTTTACATTTAACAGCAAACAGCTGCATTGGATCCATTTTGAGTATTCCAAAGCTCTATGTTGCTACTGTAGGCATAGATCCAGGGCCGGGAGCACAATGGTATTCAGGAGTGTGTGAAAATGGGCTAGTATGACATCAAGAAGGAACACAGCACTCTTGCTGCTTTATTTCTAAGTGTCTTAAGAAAAGAGTCCGGCTGGGTGGTTAGTGGTGGCGTACACCTTTAATCTCAGCAGTCAGTACTCAGAAGTCAGAGGCAGACAGATCTCTGCGAGTTCGAAGCCAGTCTGGTCTACAGAGTAAATTCCAGTGCAGCCATGGCTACACAGAGAAACCATGGAAAGAAAGAAAGAAAGAAAGAAAGAAAGAAAGAAAGAAAGAAAGAAAGAAAGGAGGGAGGGAGGGAAGAAGGAAAAGAGTCTGTTAGCTACTGTTACTTCTTGGTAACTGTGCCATTGAGGACTTTGAGCTGAGTTTAGTTGTGTCATTTTGATGCAGAGAACAAAGCATGGTCTACAGTAATGTCACCATTCTAACAGCAATGAACACTCTAAACTCTGGCTGGCTGCTCTTGTTGTAGGCTCCATCACTCTGGGAAGCACCTTGGAATGCCTCAGTCCACACATGCACTCCGCTCCCTCACTGCTCAGTGTGTTTCTGTCTGACCAGGGTTAAACTGGTGTGTGGAAACCGGTGCCCATGCTCTTTGGGCTCAGCAGTGTGGAGACAGCACAGACAATAGAAACTAGTTTATACAATCAGAAAAATACTTAAAACCTTGTATTAAGGAAAACAAAGTCTATTACTAATACTAGAAAGGATAGTAATGAATCCTCAGGTATCTATCACACAACCTTGATAAAAAAAATGACCCTTGAGATGACAAGCATCGTTACTGTGCCTGGCTTATGCAATTTTTGGGGTCAGATTCCGGGGTTTCTGGATGCAGGGCAAGCATTCATCCACCTGAGCTACATCTCCAAGTGCCCATTATTATTATTGTTATTATTTCTTTTTTTGTTGTTGTTTTGTTTTTTTTTTCGAGACAGGGTTTCTCTGTGGCTTTGGAGGCTGTCCTGGAACTAGCTCTTGTAGACCAGGCTGGCCTCGAACTCACAAAGATCCGCCTGTCTCTGCCTCCCGAGTGCTGGGATTAAAGGCGTGTGCCACCAACGCCCGGCTTATTGTTATTATTTCTGAGATAGGAACTCTATAGTGTAACCTGGTCTCCAATTCTTATGCTCCTGCCTCAGCCTGCCAAGCACTGAGATTACAGGTGCCCCCCCAACACCTGTCAATAATTAGTATTTTTTCACAGACATTCCATGTTGAAGCTCTGCATATTTTTTGTTAACATTCCTTTGATCCCAGCACAATCAGGCAGATATCTGAGTTTGAAGCCAGCCTGATCTACACAGCAAGTCTCAGGACAGGTAAGGAGATAGATAGATAGATAGATAGATAGATAGATGGATGGATGGATGGATGGATGGATGGATGGATGGATGGATGTAGATAGAGAGACTGCCTCAAAAACAATAATAACAAAAACAGCAAAACAAATTAAGGCATTTGTACTTCAAATACTACAGAAAAAGAACAAAATATTAAAGACATAGCCCAAGATGCAACACCTTCCAGAGTTTTCCACCAGCTGTTGTGAATTTGGTAGGAAAACTCAGTGGGAAGGCTTTAAAGGACATAGCACTGGGGACTTCTGTGTTGTCGTGGTGAAGATGGTGCAGGCCTGCTGCCTGCAGAGCCAAGCCAGAGCAGAGCACTGTTTAGTCTCAAAACATGTGGCTCAACACAGCTCAGTCTTCCTCTGCTTATGCCTCCAAACAAGTTGATTCAATTTCCTCAATTATAAAGCAATGGTCTTTTAATAGTTCCATTTCCCTTGCAATGAAGCTTTGAGAAGAGTTTAAGAGTCATTTTGATAATAGGACCTAGCTTTTGTTAAGAAAAAAACAAAAAATAAAACAAAAACCAAAAAAACAAAACCCCAAACCAAAAGCCCCAAACAAAACAACAGCAAATCCTGCAGTTAAGGGACTCTGTGTGAGAAGCATGGGTTGGGTGAAGCCTGCCACAGGTGTAAGGAATGTTGGCCTTTAGCCATTCAGTGGTGTTTACACAATAAAGAAATTTGAACTGTCAGGAAGGCAGGAAGAGAAACTCTAAGGCCTTAACATTTGAAGCCATGGCATCTGGGAGACTGCACAGACTCAGATCCTATCAGCTCTCCTCTGAAGGGAAATCAGTTTCCACTGAGGTTGAGTACCCTGAAGAGCAGCACGGATCTTTTGGCACTGTGCGAGCTGTTTCTAACCCTGAGGATTTCTGAGGCAAGGTTAGGAGCTCTGGAGTCAGGTCCAGGACTGACTGAGGCTTGATACATTAGCTACATAATTTTTGGCCTTGGTTTCCTTATCTGTAAAATGGAAATAA